CCCCCACAAAAAAAATAATTTTATTAATTTTATCTCTTGTTTCTTATTTAATTCTTTAAAGGCGTGTAGTAGTGTCAACTGGATGAAAACTATAGATGGCAATTGAGTTAGCCCAAGATGGGCTTTCCCGTTTTTGCTCCGGTCTGGTTTTTTTTGGGAGGCAGTATGAAACGGAATGTGATTAAAATATCTCATTTTATCGACCTGTTTAAGTAATTATTTATTTTTCAAAAGTTTTGGAGAAAAGCAATGCAAGGCGGGTCTCAGCCCCATCCCGTTGTCATCCTTAGTTAAAATATATTGTCCTTTAATATACAATTATGTGTGTACTAAATGCGTCTTAGAAATTGAGGCTAGAAATGTTTGACTTCGCAGTTACATTAAAAGAGTACGGTGGGATGCAAAACTGGTGAATGAATCATATCACTGGATTGAAAAACAAATTGTGCAGAGGCCAAAACTTGCACCATGGCAGAAAGCATTGAGGGACAGTCTTCTAGAAAATGGAGTGACTCCTTACAATGGATATACATTTGATCATGTATATGGAACCAAGGTTGGTGGCACAATTTTTGAAAGAAATGGCCGCCGCCACACTGCAGCGGAGCTACTTGCATCGGCAAATCCAGAAAAGCTTGAAGTGTTGATACATGCTACAGTTCAGAAAATTGTGTTTGAGATAAAAGGTACAATAAACAATTTACGGCATCTTTGGTATCTAATACTTGTTGGGAATACAAGTCTAAGTTAGGTACTCCCTTGTATGACACCTAACGAACCTTTCCTTTCTCGTCCATATTTGATGTGCGACTATGTGGGATTAGACAAAGAAAGGAAGTGTTTTCATAAATTTCTTCCTCATGAGGATGGAAATTTGAGCAATACTCGATAGTATTTGATGTGAGACTATGTGGAATTAGGCTAACAAAGGAAGTGTTTTCACAAATCCCTTCCTCGTGAGGATGGAAATTTGAACAATAGTGCAATGGGCAAAATTTCTTCCTTTATACTGTCTTGTACTGTACTATACTAGCACGGACTTTATTTGTAAAATGTTCATTACAGGGAAAAAACCAAGGGCAACTGGAGTGATCTTTAAAGATGAAAATGGGATGCAACATCTAGCAGTTATTTCAAAGCAGTCCAGAAATGAAATTATACTGTCATCTGGTGCAATTGGAAGCCCTCAACTGCTGCTGCTAAGTGGAATAGGACCAAAATCCCAGCTTGAAAAGCTGAACATTTCTGTGGTTCTTGATAATGAGTTCGTAGGAAAAGGCATGTCCGATAATCCCACAAATGCGATTTATGTTCCGACTAGTCAGCCGGTCGAGCAATCTTTAATACAGACTGTTGGAATTACCAAGATGGGAGTGTACATTGAGGCTACCAGTGGATTTGGACAATTCACAGATAGCATTAATTGGAACCATGGACTTGTTGCAGCTGAGGTGAGTAACAATTCACATATGGTTGTATTCAATAGGATATGACAATACAAGGTATAGCATTTTAATATTTTTTCTTCTTTGGTATTGTCCAATATTATAAAATCCACTTAACGAAACAACCACAAATATGCAGATTGTTGGGTGGGGTCACAAGGTGGCAATAGGCCCCACTGCTTGAGGGTTTGAATAGAGACATGGGCGGTACTAAATTTTAAATTCAAGATTTTGTAATAGATTTTAAACAAGATATTCAAAAGAATTCCTTATAAAATTCAATTTTGCTCCTACGACTCTATTCTCTTGGCTTTGCCCTTGGATAGAGAGCCTGCAAGCACGATTGTTAAGTGTTTTGAATATAGGAATATATGAGACATTTATGAAGGTACAACACCGACTTCAATTGAAGATTCCAGATTTTTGTGGGCTTTTCCATCCCATATTTTACTACCAATTTCTTGAACTTTCTTCATGGAAGAATTCTCTAGTAGATGAAGGCAGCCACCATCACCAATCTTCAGCACCTATATATATCCATGTCCAGCAGCATTTTGTGTGTGTGTGTGTGTGAAAAGAGAGAGAGTGAAAAGAGAAGAGAGTGATAGCAAATATAATAAGTGGGAAAGAGATACATAGTGAGGTAGTGCAGTGTGTCAGTGAGGAGTGTCTTCATAAAATCAAAGTGCGTAAAATCTATTTCATAAATAAAATAATATCTTTTTTAAGTCCTAAATTCTACAATTTAGACCCGTGGTAGATTGTCCTAATATTTCCATATATATAGGATGAGGGACGGTTAAGCGTGAACTACTATAAATCAATTTGTTTGTTCTCGTATGTTTCTGATGCAGTTTTTACTTAACAATGCTCTCATAATTGAGATTTGGACTTAATTCCTAAAGCAGATATATCGTCTTTTTGTTATGTGATCAGATAGGGCAATTGATTACCACTCCTCTAAAGAATAGAAAATATGAAGCAATCCAATCCTACAATAAAAGAAAGAGAAACCCCCCACATGAAGCATTTATGGGAGGTTTCATTTTAGAAAAAGTTGCCAGTCCTTTATCCACTGGCCACCTTAATCTTCTCAATACAAATGTTGATGACAATCCCTCAGTCACCTTCAACTACTTCAGCCATCCGTCCGATCTACAAAGATGTGTTGATGGCGTACGACTCATAGAGAAGATATCGAGATCAAAACATTTCAAGAACTACATGGAATGTGACAGCAAAACGGTTGAGAGGATGCTGAACATGAGTGTTCAGGCCAATGTTAATCTTTTACCTACGCACACTAATGATACAAAATCCTTGGAACAATTCTGTAAAGACACTGTTAGCACAATTTGGCACTACCATTGAGGGTGCCATGTGGGCAAGGTAGTGGGACCTGATCATCGGGTTCTTGGAGTTGAGAGGCTCCGTGTTATTGATGGATCGACGTTCACTGAATCGCCCGGGACTAATCCTCAAGCCACAGTGATGATGATGGGCAGGTAAGATCACAATATTCTTTTTTCATTATGCTAACACAATTGCTCGAAAGTTGTTTTCTTGGAAAAGCAAGTTTTGTTAACAGAAAAAGTAAATTTGAAAATTATATTTAGAAAAATAAGTAAAAATTTTGACTTATACAAATGCAGGTACATGGGAATGAAAATATTGAAAGAGAGATTGGGACGAGCAGCTGGAGTATAAGAGGGTTAAGTTTGTGTTTGTAAAACTGATTCAATATTAGAAGATATTTTATTTAATATAATTTTCAATTTTAAGTCTTTAGTTAGGAAACTTAATCAAGTTTGATTTATCTGCTTTTATAGTATTTTCTTACTCAAAATAGGGTCTTTTCAAACCCTATATAAATGAGTATTTTGCATTGTAATAAAACAACTTGATTATATGAATTGAAGTATTTCCTCTTGTCCTCAATTCTTTTCCCCAAGTCCCTCCTTTCTCTTCTTCTCTTCCCTTTCCCTTTCCCTTTCCCTTTCCCTTTTCCCTTCTCCTATAATTCCTATTGCATCCTACATCAAAAACTTACTTTCTTGTCATATTATAATTTTATAAGCTACAAATTATGTTATTAAGACTAAAAAACTTATATGGAATGGGAAAACAGTCATTTCCTATCTTGTGTATCCATTTTATGAAACAGCAAATCCCTTGGTTAAAGGATTGTTTTTTGAGGCTTAGTGCTTGTTTGGTAGAGATTCTGAGAATTGATTTTTTTATTGTTAGAGATAAAGTGGATCCTACTTATGAGAGAAAAATTCAAAAATGACGGTCAGAATAATAAAATAATGGTCAAAAATTTGATTTTAATTGACTTTTAAACTGTACCAAACAAGCTCTTAGTCTGTTTGGACGCAAAATCACTCAAGTTCCAGCATGATTGTCACTCATTTAAAAAAACTGTATGTAACTCAATACTTTAATAGAAAATATTTCCAATTCTTTATAACCAAGACAAAAATATAGTTGACTTCAACTTCCACACCGCTTGGGACTAACAACTATAGGAAAGAATTGTCGAGGCCTAAAAAAGATGAAATCCAATTCACTCAGAATTTTCCATCTTTTGTCACCTTCATTGCGAAGGCAAGGCGAATTCGAGAAATGTTTGGAAATGGTACATGAATATTGACTTGGTTGTTCATCAGTCTGGAATCTTATTTGGAAAGTACTATCCATAGTTTCGATCTATTTATTTTTAATTTTTCATATGGTTCTAGTCTTCCTTCCAATTCTTTGAAGTTAAAGAGTAGAGGTTTGTTTTGGTACTGGCGAGACAATTGAATAGTACGAGATAGTATTGAAAAAGAATTCCGATCCATAATCTCATAATATTGATGATTTCATGGTAGTTAGAACTAATGATAAATTGCATTGGGGGAAAGAGTAAAGCCTCTCTTTTCATTCTCCCTTCTCATTCCACAATCTAGCACTGTAACAGCCAGATATTTCACCAAAATTGAAGAAATCTAAACAAATAAAACCACATTTGTAAATGATTTGTCGTTAAATCACCAGCTCACACAGTAATTACTACCTTAATAGCATAGGTGATGAGTATTGGACGGAGGAAGAAAAAGCTAAAATCTTGTACTTTATGCTATTCAATTCTATCCAATACAGCATATCGATTTGGCAAATGCCTAACTCTCTTGTTTCTGTTGTATTAAAATAACACTACCTATCCAGGGAGCGTCTTTCAATTTTGCCTGATATTACTAGCAAAAAATGTCTAAGTGAACTCCGGAATCCCGTCTGTAGAAAGGCCGAGACAGTATAAGTTCCCAGCATAGACAATCTGTTGGGAATCTCCTTAACGTGCGCACCGGAAATTAAAACAAATTTCGATTCTCATCAAGAATCGTCTTTGTGTTTCGATAGAAATTGTGATAAAAGTGATACCTTTTACGATCTGCAAACTCCTTTGCCTTATCTTTGTTTCAGCAACTTGGATCTGTCTCCCGCAACTGTCCAATTGTCCAGTCTCCAACGGTGATCCACAGGGAACAAGATTGTACTATTAGGATTTTTCTTGTGCTAGCAAAAATAATGAAAAATCACTACAATTTTGAAAACCCTAATCATATTTATATAAGCCCGAACAGGCTTAGTCTGACCCGGTCCAACATTTAATTAACCCATTTAATTAAATTCGGTCTGTGAATTAATTAATCCAATTAATCAATTCAAGCCTATAAATAAGCAACCAAATTAATTAATTTATTCAACATTTGTTAAATTAATTAATTGACAAATCACAATCTTCCAGTTCTCTTTTTGTGTGCGACCCATCAGGTTTCCGATCACGATACCTAACGACGTGAAATATTATTTTGATCTAATCAAAATTAATAAATTAAAACACCCTTTTAATTTATTATCAATCGCACTTGCCGTCCTAAATTGACATCTAGCAATGTGTCATAATAATACATGTGACGGGAAATGTCACGTGGTATGACAAAATCAAACTCGTTCATTTACCGTGAAATTATAATCTTTTCGTCAATATGTTCCGATCAATTACGAGATATGGAAGTGTGTCAATCTCGATTATCGATCATATCTTTCACTCTACTATTAAGTCAATAGCTTGGCCAAGGATTTCGTTATCGACTTAATTGAATGAAACGCAGGTCATAATTTCTTACTATCTAAAAGTGACGAATCCTCTATTGGTCATTCACAACCTTCATATGATTCTTGACATACCCGACAGAGCAACATCCAACACCGTCAAAGCATGACCGTCCTCATATAAGGTACTATAACGACCTCAAGTCAAAAGGACCAATCCCACTACCGAACGTTAGATATTAACCACTGACACTCAGATAGTTATCCATGTGAAATCTCTCGACGGGTCTCCAATGTTTTGTTCTATAACAAAATATCCACGTGTTCATTTAAGTGTCACCATACTTTAACTTGTGAGATCAGCTACTTACTTCACAAGTAAGAAATGCCACACGTGATGGTCTATCCATAATAACGATATTTGTATCTCATTATTACTTATGACCATGGACGATTAAAGATTCAATTATATGTAATTTGTATCTCACAATCACAACTCCTTATGATTAACAAATTACGAAGATTTGAATCTACGGACTCTATTATTCAATTTAATTGTCTATTAATTAAATAATAGATCTGTCATTAAATTGCATTAATTATATATCAAAAGTATTTATGCCTAAGGTTGATTGGACTTAGGGCATAACACTTACAAACTCCCACTTGCACTAGATCCAATCACTTATATATCTAATATCATAAGAGTCTACATTACTTTTATATTTATGTTACGACAACTCTTTGTCAGTAGAACTACAATATTGTAAAATGTGGGAATTTATTTTCTCTTTACATCATTTCTATGTATTATCTCTCTGATGAGATTATACCACCTTAATACATGTTTGGATCATTTATGAGACCTTAGTTCTTTCGTTTTCGTGATGGCTCAATTGTTATCACAATACAATGACATGTGATCAACAATATCAGGAACTACTCCTAGTTCATTTATGAACATTATGATCCACATTGTAACTCTTTACTGCTTTTGAAATAATCATGTATTAGGTTTTTGCTATTGAATCAACGGTTGCTTCACGTTTGGAACATTTCCAACATACCGCTTAAGAGTAAACAAGTTTCTCCATATGAAATCTTCTCAAGATTTCATATATGTAAATTGGGATGAGTTAAGCAATCTTCTAGATCTACTTCTATAGATCAACTTGCCTTTCCCAAATCGTTCATGAATAGATCCTTTAACAACCATTATCTCAACGATTGAAACATATGAATGTCATTTTCTATAATATTAGGAATACGACAATACTCTCATTATCTTCTTGTAAACACTCAATTCGTCTTCAAATTTGATAAAATCAAATACTTTGACTTTTCATCAAATCAAAGATTTCAACTCCAAAAGACTTCTCTTAACCTATAGTCACGGTATGCAACTGTTGCAAGTAAAACCCGAATGGACTTCAGCAAGGCTACAGGAGAAAGGTTTTACCAAGGTCAACACTTAACCTTTGCTATTAGCCTTGCTTTGTATATATGGATATTCCCATCCATATCGACCTTTTCCTTATAAACTATTTACAAAAACTTATGTGTTTTATTCCATGAGGAGGCTCGACCAAGGTCCAAACCTTGTTCACATACGTCTAGTTCATCTCGAGTTTCATGGCCTCTTGCTGTCTCTTTTAAGTCAACACTTGACTTTATTTTGTTGCAACTAGCAGGTTCATTATCCTGGATCAGTAATACCTGATTAGTAATCGTGGATTCGCACATTCTTCAAGGTCGAATGATCCTACTAGAATTAATTAGAGTTATCATGTCCTCAGGAGTCTCTACTTCCTGATCAAAAGTATGTCCCATATCATATATGTGATCAAACTCGGATTCATCTACTTGGCTAACTATATTTGTGGATTCTTGAACTCTTTCATGTTCTATTTTGCTCCCACTGTCCTCCCCTAGAGTAAACATTTTCTATAAGAAGACGATATGTCGTGAGATGAAGACTTTCTTCACAATAATAGAATTTATATTCAGATATTTGCTTTGAATATCTCACAAATATGTATTTATCGAATTTAGTCTCAAACTTATCCAATTTAAGGCGCTTCAAATAAGCGTTATGATTCAAAACTTTTATATGAGATAAATTGTGACTATTACCTTTCCATAACTCGTATGGAGTTCAGTTAACCAACTTTGATGTGACATGTTTTAGTGTGTTGCACACTGCAATTAGTGCATGACCCGAAAACGATTTTTGGAGATTTGCATGGCTTGTTATTAATCGCAGTATATCTAATAGTTAATGATTCATCCTTTTAGATACACCACTATGTTGTAGTGTATGTGGAGGAATCCACTGCAAGAGAATCTCATTCTCTCTTAAATAATCTAGATTTTATCTTTAAGATACTCTCACTTGATCGAATCTTAATATGAGGGTGTCTTTATCTATTTGTTTCTCTACTTCTAGTTCGAATCCCTTGAACTTTTCAAGAGTTTCATATTTGAGTTTCATCAAGTATACATGATCATTGATGATATAAGAGAAACATTACCTGACATCAATTGACATGAGTCCATATGCATCACTATGCATTAGACCAGTAATTATACTGACCTTTCTTCTTTTCAAGTAAAAGAAGATTTGGTCATTGTGCCAGACATGCATAATTTGTACTTGTCAAAATAAATTAATCTCGAGTATACATCTTTATGTAACTTTGGAATTGCATTTCATCTATATGACAAAGTCTGTCATGCCAGGTTTCGGTAATAATTAGATTATCGCATTTATGCCTTATAATTTCTATACTCATTATAGAATCCTTAGTATTAAAG